AGTCAAAGGACAACAAATACCATATGATTTCACTTATATGTAGCATCTACTAGTAAAGAACAAAATAAATAAACTAACAAAACAGAAACAGACATAGATACAGAGAACAAATTGATGGTTGCCAGTGGGATGGGGGTTGGGAGATTGGGTGGAAAAGGTTAAGGGATAGAGAAGTAAGATGGACAGTTACAAAATAGTCATTGTGATATTGTTGTGGCAGAATGAATGCATGGGAGAACCATCAGCCAACACTCTGAGAGAAGAAAGTTTAACCTATTTCACAGATCTGCTAGTCGAGGGGAATTCTAGATCCAAAGCCTGAACTGAACTTGTGGGGAGGCTCTGACCTATATATCTCTTACAGTGGTGGGCCCCTGAGGGTCCCCATAGCTCCACCCAAGTCAGTCTTGGGGGCGTGCTCCACAGCTCTGCCCAAGTTAACTGAAACGGGGCCCTGGGGTTAGGCTCTGCAGTTCTGCCCAAGTCAGTCAGAGTGGGGAAGTAAGACTACAGTTTTAACCAGATACTGAACTAGGTTGCAAGCCTCCCTTCCCCTATTTTCCTATTCCATATAAAATCTACATCATAGGAAATATAGTCAATAATCCTAACTAATAAAAGAGTAATATGCAAATTAACCATCACCCCGCTACACTAACAACCCATGCCCACAACTACGCCCACTAGCCAATCAGAGCGAGTATGCAAATTAACCCAATCATGATGGCTGCAGCCACAGAGAAAGCAGGAGGGAGGCTTGGGTTTCCCAGGAGATAGCAGAAGCCAAGCTTTCCACACACCCTGGCCGGCCTCGGCCTCCACTTAGTTTCAATTATAGAAGATACATAAATCCCTTGCCACCACAGAGCCAGCTCAAGGTTTGGCTCTGCTCCAGGCTGCAAAGTTTCAATTGTATAAGATAAATTCCAGATAACAGGGCCTCCACTTGGATCACCGGGGGTGTGGCCAGCCTGAAAACCATCACAGGCCCTTCTCCCAGGCTGCCCCATACCCCAAGGGAATGAACCCCCACCCTGATCTGGGACTCCCTTCAGGGCAAATCAGCTGGCCCCCACCTGTGCACCAGGCCTCTATCCTGTCTAATAAAAGAGTAATATGCAGATTGACCATCACTCCAACACACAAGGTGGTTGCCCCCATGTGGTCAAAGATCCTGCCCCCATGTGGACATAAGATGGCCACCACAAGATGGCCAGCAGGGGAGGACAGTTGAGAGGGAACAGGCCTGCAAGGGAGGGCAGTTGGAGGCGATCAACCTTGCAGGGGAGGGCAGTTAGGGTGACCAGGCCGGTAGAGGAGGGAAGTTGGGGGCAAGCAGGCTGGCAGGGAAGCAGTTAGACATCAGTCAGGCTGGCAGGGGAGTGGTTAGGGGGTGATCAGGCTGGTAGGGGAGTGGTTAGGGCATGATCAGGCTGGCAGGCAGAAGCGGTTAGGGGCAGTCATGAAGGCAGGCAGTCAAGTAGTTGGGAGCCAGCAGTCCTGGATTATGAGAGGGATGTTCGACTGCCCATTTAGGCCCAATCCCACTGGGGGGTGGTTCAGATTGAAGAGGGTGCAGGCTGGGCTGAGGGTCACCCCCGCCTTCCCCCGCCCCCACCATGCACGAATTTTGTGCATTGGGCCTCTAGTATTATAATAACTGTCTATGGTGCTGGTTGATACTAAAAACTTCAGCGAGGGGGATTGGAGGGGGGACACTTTATAAAGTATCTAAAGTGTCTCACCACTATGGTCAACACCTAAAATTAATACAAAATATTACTGAATATAAACTGCAATTGAAAAAAATAATTGTTCAGGAAAGCTTCCGTGAGCTTTGAAGAAACTGAAGGAACAAGCTTTGTGAGTATCTATCTGGGGTTATGGGCTATGGACTGACTATGTCTCCTTCACTTTCAAATTCATATGAAGTCCTTACCTACCCCTCCCCTCCCCCACCTCATCTCCCACACATGCTTCAGAATTTACCCATACTGGAAATAAGGCTTTTACCAAGATGATTAAATTAAAATGAAACCTAGAAAGTGTGACCTGGTTTATGGGAAGCAAGACAAGACTGAGTTGCTGGTTTAAATATAGTTGACTATTGCCCCAGTGCATGAATCCATGCACATTGAAAAGAAATTAATTAGAAGAAATATTTTAATATTGCTATTTGCCTTTTCTCTATAATAGAAGTGTCTTCCAAATTCATGATCGATAATGACAGATTGAAACACACATGTGTGATTGGCGCCAGCAAGAGCTTTATATGTATCATGCATGCGAGAGTCAACTTAGTATTTTATATATGTATAGAAAAACCTTGCTTAATTAGACCTGCTTTCTAATTTAGCTAAACTATTTCCAGCCCAGTGAAGCATCCCAACTTCTTTTTTAGGTAATTGTCAGCAACACAGCAATAAATATCAACACAAAGCAGATTATTATTATAGATCATGCAGGAAGAACAAAGGGTAAAATATTTAACTGCAGCAGTGTTTGACTATATTCCGAAGGGGAAGGGGCATGTGCAATAGAAGTCATTTTCAAGGTCCACCATTTATTACATCTTTTCGGGTCAAGTTTCTAAGCTTCTAAATCTTCGTTTCTGGCAAAAAAAAAAAAAAAAAAAAAAAAAAAATAGGGCTGAAACTGGTTTGGCTCAGTGGTAGAGCGTCGGCCTGTAGACTCAAGGGTCCCAGGTTTGGTTCCAGTCAAGGCCATGTGCATTGGTTGTGGACACATCTCTGGTGGGGTGTACAGGAGACAGCTGGTCGATGTTTCTCTCTCATCGATGTTTCTGACTCTGTCCCTCTCCTTTCCTCTCTGTGGAAAATCAATAGAAAAAAAAAATATATATATGTATGTATACATGTATAAAAGGATTTCATACAGAATCTCCTATCTACCTACTCCAGGACTTCTGTCAGGATCCAATGAGATGAGGCATGGGAAAATGCTTCACAGATATTTGGTTAAAGTGTAAAATGTTTGCACCTGGCTATACAGCAAGTCGTGTTCCTGGGCTGAAGAAATTGCAAGGAGGCTAGTCGTTGCTAGGGAAATGAAGCCAGGTATTGCTACATGACATCATTACCCAGTGCCCACAGCAACTTTTTCCAGGCTGTGCTGGGCTGAGCTGTGGGCTGCATTTTGTGCCATGGCAGCATTTGCTGAGATTTGGTAGGGTGTCGCCCCAGGGTGGTGGTGGGTCCTGTGTCCCAATTAGGGGAGTATTGCTTTGTTGGCATCAAGTCTGCACTGCCATTTCTCTGTGAATGACAAGTGTGAGTCTTGGCAATCCTGCATTGAGTGTCTGGCCTCTGGTGGCCAGTGCATGTCATAGCGACCAGTCCGTTGAGCGGAGGGACACTTGGCATATTAGCCTTTTATATATAATATATAGACTAGAGGCCCTGTGCATGAAATGTGTGCATAGATAGGGTTCCTAGGCCTGGCCAGCGATCAGGGCCGATTGGGGCTTTCTGGCTGTTTGCAGGGGCCTTCCTTTATTCTGAGCCGCCCTTTGGTGGTCAACACATGTCATAGTGAGCAAACTCCTGGTCTCCTGGTCTAACTCCCGAGGGGACACTTTGCATATTAGCCATATATATGATGAAGACTGAGAACTGTTGTTTGAATGAGCAATGGTGGCCTCAGCAAGAACAATCTGGTGGGAGTCTGGGCATGAAAGCCTGACTTATGTGTTAGAGAAAAACTGACGGCAAGTTGTTTAGAGCAACTTGTAAGTTTTGCTCTATTTGTAGGAGCAAGAAAATGTGGTGGAAGATGGAGGGGGGGAGTAGGCTTTTTTCGTTTTTGCTTTTGGATATTAAGAAATTACAGCATAGCCGAAACCGGTTTGGCTCAATGGAGCATGTTTATGCCAGTATCTTTAAAAAATCTTCACAGTTTTATCCCCTACTGCCCCTTCACAGTTTTGATGGAACAATAGCTACCCATTTCTCTCATCTTTGATGCTACTCTTTTGAATACACCGCTGACTGATGCATCTTCCTAAACCATAACTCTCATTCCATCATGCCTCTGCTAAAAACCTTCAGGGTGTCCTTAACTGCTGCATGAGGCTCCGATTCCTTAGCTGAATATTCAAATCTCCAGTTTTGACTTTTGCAGTTTTATCTCTTTCTTCTCCAAAGTCCGATATGAGGTATAAAGCATGCCACAGCAGCGTCAGAAGGCTCAGGCTAAAGTCGCGGTTCTGCTCAGTGACTTTGGACAAATTCTGAAGGGGAAGGGGCGTGTGGAGTAGACAGGATGTCCTGTTAGATCGCAGGCATTTCTAAGAAGCCTCACCTCTCAGCACTGTAGGGACTGCACGGGATATGGTGTTCTAAAACCACTTCATCCCTTTCACTTCCAACCACATGGCTGGCTTATGCAGTCACTTATGTTTCTCGCTTTGCTTTTGCCTTTCTAAACACAGCAGGCTGTAGAAGAGCCACTGTGGGCAGCTCCTTTAAGGGCTTCCGCCCCTGGAGCACCCAGGACTCGCCTCCAAGTCTTTCTGTCACTAGGGACCGACCTTTCCGCAGTCAGAATTGGCCACGTATTAAGTGCCTCTTCCAACCAATCAGGAAGAAGTTATCTCAGAGCTTTGCGGGCATCCGCTTCCACCAATGAACTTCTAGCCTTCTATGGGTAACCGCTTCCGGAACTGGGCGGGGCCTCGGAGGGGACAGTGAGAGTTGATTGGCAGGCGTGATGTTGACAATCGGGGAAAGCCCACCTTCTTCAACAGGACTAGCTCGGTTTCCCAGAGTGGCAGTGACCGCGGCCAATCGGAGAGGAGACGCGCGGAAAGTTTGCTCAATGAGTGAAGTCCGAGGACGACTGTCACTCAAGGGGCGGTGGCGGAAACCGAGGTGAGACGTGGCGGGAGGACCGGGCTGGCTGTCAGGTGCTGGGATCCCAGCTCAGCTGCGCGGGGTCTGCGGCGACTTCACCTCCATGCGCGCGCGCCGGGCGGGCCGCTGATGGAACGCGCTGCCCGCTCGGGGCCGCTCGCCGGGCCGCGGCCGTTGCTGCTGCTGCTGGGGCTCTGGGCGCTGACGGAAGCTGCGGGGCGCGCCCAAGACCTGCCCGCCCCGGCGGTGGAGGCGGCGTTTGGCCTGGGGGCCGCGGCGGCTCCCACCTGGGCCGCGCGGGTGCCGGCTGCGGCGCTGACGGCGGCTGAGGTGACGGTGGAGGATGCAGAGGCGTTGCCGGCGGCCTCGGGCGAGCGGGAGCCATGGGAGCCCGACCAAGAGCCAGAGCTGCAGCCGCATGGCAGGTGAGGGGGGCCGACTCGGGGAGCGGCTGGTTTGCGCGCGCCGCGAGGGTTGGGGGACCGGGTCCTCAGGCTCCGGCCTCTCCCCGGCGGAGAACCGGCGGAGACGGGGCGAGCGCGAGCCGCCTTCCTGGCTGTCCGGCGGGTGCTTTGGGGATGATCTCAGAAGAGCGCAGAGATGGGAAAGAAACGTTTTTTTCCCTCGATTGTTTTGGGCTTTTTTCTTACTCCAAGGAACTTTCAGCCCCACCCCACTCTCTTTTCTTCTGTGAGTCACCAGTTTTCTGTGCTGGCGTGACAGCTGTTTTGGGAGAGGAGTTTACGGAGAGATTTTTACATTCCCGTTTTTATTTGTTAATATATATATTTTATTTATTTTAGAGAGGAAGGTAGAAGGAGAGAGAGAGAAAAAAAAAATCACTGCTCGACTGCCTCCTGCAAGCCCACACTCGGGGTGGAACCCGCAACCGGGCATAAGCCCTTCCTGAGATTCCAACCGTGACCTCCTGGTTGTTAGGTCCACGCTCAACCACGAGCCAAGCCTACCCGGCTTTACATTCCCCTTTAAACACAACCCTGTCGTGCCCCGGAGCAGGGGGTAATGTCAGTACTTCTCAGCTTGAGATCTGGGAAAACCTGCATCAGCATACCTGGGGATGCTAGTAAACTTCACTCCAGATCCACTGAATCAGACTTTTTCTAGGTAAGAACCTCGAATCTGCAAATTTAACAAGCAAACCAGACAATTTTTGAGCACACTAGATAAAGTTTAAGAGCTATGGGTAGGTTCTTGAATTTTGGCAATTTTGATATGTAGAGAATTTACCATATAAACGTTAAATATAGGACTGTCTTGGTTGAGTTGATTAGCCTCCTTGAAAATGGTACTTAAAGATATATGTTTTAAAGCACTTTTCTAAGTCTGGTCACAAATGTAAAGCATTTTAATGGGGTGTAAAGTATTTTTCAGACAGCTGTCTTAACACACCTGGAGAGAAAGTGATGTCCCATTTAACAAATGGGATGATAAAAGCAATGTTAGGTAAATTAAACCAGGGTTTGGCTACAATTGTAGGTCACAAAGTATTGTAGGTTTATAACATACTGATTAGAAGATCATAACAAATAGATTTGATTTTCGTTAAATATTGGAACCTTGATCTATGTACCTGCAAACTATAAATAGGATAGTAAGTAATAAAAGTCTCACCACTTGAATGCTTATATGTAAACTAGAGGCCCGCTGCATGAAATTGTGCAAGGGGCTGTGCTCTCACAGCCCCTGCTTGTCATCCAGACAGTCATTCTACTGTTTGGTCTAATTAGCATATTAGCTCTTTATTATATAGGATTTTTAAAAAAAAATTAGCAAATGTTTGACAATTTCATAGGCTTTGCTAATTAATTAACTTTCCTGGAAGAGTGTTTTATTTTGAAACTTCTGAAGTGCCTAACTCAAAGTAAGTTCCATGAATTAAGATGTTTAATTTTTCTTAGATTACAAATCCACTGATGCAGGTTATTGTGGGCACTTACAAAGGCCTGCATGATGCTATGGGGTTCCAAAGGATGTGCAGATCCAGCCCTCCTGGAAGAGTATGGAGTCTAGCCCCTAGGATTATGTGAGGTGATCCATGACATTACAAAGCAGAAGCAGTGTCTGGAGGTTTTTGTGATTTTCATTTGGTGGGGTACAGGCGATGAGATAGATGAAAAGATAAGAAAAGGCTGAGGAAGAATGAGGTGGTTCCTGAAAAGTGGTTAGAATTGTGATGGGCAGACACAAAACTTGAGGAAACAGCAAAAGGCACAAAAGCTGGAAAATACATTTAGGGAAACTTTAAAAAATATATATATCGATATATGTATATGTGTGTGTATATATATATATATATATATATATGTATATATATATATATTTAAATTGGTTTTAGAGAAGAAGGGAAAGGGAGAGACAGAAACATCAGTGGATGAGAGAAAATCATGGATCTGCTGCCTCCCGCACATCCTCCACTGGGGATCTAGCCTGAAACCTGGGCATGTGCTCCCGACCTGGAATTGAATTGTGACCTCCTGGTTCTTAGCCACATCCCACACCCACACCCCACATTGGCTGGGCTAGGGAATCTTTTTTTTTTTTTTTTTTTTTTTAATATATTTTATTGATTTTTGTACAGAGAGGAAGGGAGAGAGATAGAGAGTTAGAAACATCGATGAGAGAGAGTCATCGATCAGCTGCCTCTTGCACACCCCCTACTGGGGATATGCCCGCAACCAAGGTACATGCCCTTGACCGGAATTGAACCCGGGACCTTTCAGTCCCCAAGCCGACGCTCTATCCATTGAGCCAAACCGGTCTTGGCAAGGAATCTTTTATTCATATACATCTGTGTGAGACCTGTGTGTATGTGAGAGATATAGACAGACATTCAGGAGTGCTGGGCAAGGAGGAATAAAAAATGAGACTAGAAAAATAGCTGGGGCCGGCACCAGTTTGGCTCAGTGGTAGAGCGTCGGTCTGCGGACTGAAAGGTCCCGGGTTCGATTCTGGTCAAGGGCATGTACCTTGGTTGCGGGCACATCCCCAGTAGGGGGTGTGCAAGAGGCAGCTGGTTGATGACTCTCTCTCATCGATGTTTCTAACTCTCTATCCCTCTCTCTTCCTCTCTGTGAAAAATCAATAAAAATATATTTAAAAAAAAGAAAAAGAAAAAAAAAAGAAAAGAAAAATAGCTGGGGCCATATTGTATAGATTCTAGCTTCACACTAACAGCCTGGCCATCACTAGGAAGCATGTTAGAAGTCCAGAATCAGGCACTACTCAGACCTACTGAGGAAGTATCTGTGTTTTAACAAGATTACCATGTGCTTCACATGCACATTACAGTTGGATAAGTGATGTGTGAAGTATCTTAAGTGCCACTCCTGATTAAAGTTTGTACTTAAGAAATGTTTCTCCAGCAATAACATATACTGAAAGCTTGATGTGATACCGCAAGGACAGTGTTGTAACAGTTCAGAGGAGAGGTTTGCTGTTAAATGCATGTAGAACAGAGGGAATATGTTTGAGGTAGAGTCTTGGTTCCTAGCAAATGAATCAGTTCTACCTACCTTGGTACTCCCATCCAAAGATTGGGACTGGGTGGCCAGAAAGTGAGAGGATTAGGGGAGCAGGGAAGAAAAGAGAAGGGGTTTGATGATGGACATGGTGACTTGTAGGTTCAGGCAAGACTCTAGGCTCTAGAGCAGTGGTTCTCAACCTTTCTAATGTTCCACCCTTAAATACAGTTCCTCATGTTGTGGCGACCCCCAACCATAAAATTGTTTTTGTTGCTACTTCATAACTAATTTTGCTACTGTTATGAATCGTAATGATGGTCTTAGGCAACCCACAGGTTGATGCCCAGGAAGCAGTATTAGGCTGTAGAGCCTAAGACCATTGGAAAACACAGATATTTACATTCCGATCCATAACAGTAGCAAAATTACAGTTCTGAAGTAGCAACGAAAACAGTTTTATGGTTGGGGGTCACCACAACATGAGGAACTGTATTAAAGGGTCGAGGCATTAGCAAGGTTGAGAACCACTGGTCTAGCGGAAGATATTTGGGTAGGCAAGTGGAAATGAGTGACTGAAGTTTGATAAATAGTTGAAGCTGTGAGAAAATGAGGCTCATAATAAATCCTCAGAAAATGCCCTATTTTAGAAGAGACATGATAGCAAAGGAGACAACTACTACTGGCTAGGTTGGTAGTGTAGAGTAAGGACTGAGAAGAATGAGGGATTTGGTGATGAGTGCACTTAAAGGGTATATTAAAGCAATAGGCTACTCAGATAGCAAGAGGGGGGTTAAAAATTCCTCCTTTTCATTCCCAGCTCCTTCTTCCCTCACAGTTTTAGGAACAGGGACCTCTAATCTTAATTACACATACAGAGGAGAGAGTCTATTTGCACAGGTTGATAAAGAAGATTGGAGGAGGAGGTGAAGGTAGTTGGGAAGATACTACTTGGCAAGCAGGAGGTTCACTTTTCTCAGAAACAAGATGAAAATAGAGGAATTTTGCCTGCAGAATGTGAGTGACTTTTGGCAAACAATTGTCTAGGAAGACATAGGCCCAGATTCAGGAGTCTGCCTGGTAGTTTAAGACAACGTGGGAAGTTTGAGAAACTTTGGATAAGTAAATTGACAGTCATCAGGAGGTAAGTATGCAGTGTTTATAGAACTTTTTTTTTTCTAGATTTCTTAAAAAAAAAAGAGAGAGAATATCAATTCATAATAATAGGCTAATATGTTTCAAGAAGGAGAATTAGGAGAAAGATTTGAATTAACCAAGTATTTATTATAAACAGCTATGAAGAATTTTGCCACTTGCAAACTTTTAAAAAGAGGGAGGTAGGGAATTAAGATGGTCATTTAAAAAAATACATATAGTTTTTATTTTATTTTAAATATATTTTATTGATTTTTTACAGAGAGGAAGGGAGAGGGATAGAGAGCTAGAAATATCAATGAGAGAGAAACATTGATCCTCTGCTTCCTGCACATCCCCTACTGGGGATGTGCCCGCAACCAAGGTACATGCCCTCTACTGAAATCAAACCTGGGACCTTTCAGTCCGCAGGCTGACGCTCTATCCACTGAGCCAAACCGGTTTCAGCAAAAAATATATATTTTATTGATTTTTACAGAGAGGAAGGGATAGAGAGTTAGAAACATGGATGGGAGAGAAACGTCGATCAGCTGCCTCCTGCACACCCCCTACTGGGGATGTGCCCACAACCATGGTACATGCCCTTGACCATGCCCTTGACCAGAACCGAACCTGGGACCATTTCAGTCCTCAGTCTGTCCCCTGAGCCAAACCAGTCAGGGCAAAGATGATCATTTTTGCATGTTGTCTTGATGCCCAAGAAGCAATATAAGGGTCACTAATTCTTCTTCCCCTCCCCTCCCCTCCCCTTCCCTCCCCTCCCCTTCCCTCCCCTCCCCTTCCCTCCCCTC